TGCCTTGGAGGGACCGCTTCCCCACGGCCGGGTGTGCCACGGGGAGGCGCACAGGCCGCCCGGCCGGACCACCCAGGCAGGGCGACACTCAGTCGTTCAGGCCTTTGCTACCCCGGATGGATTAAGGTCCGCTTCCAGTCCTGGCGGGCAGCCGGGGGAGAACTCGGGCAGAACACAGCACGCCACCGGGCGCCGCCTGGCTCCTGCTCGCTCGCTTCTCACGTGGTTTTCCTTTTTAAATCTGCAATGCCCCTTTGCTTCCCTGTCTAACGGTGAGCCCCTGCGAGGAGGAGGAGGAAGGTCCAGACGAGTCCACCATGTCAGCCGGACATCGGTCCCCCGTCATGAAGAAACCGCTCCACAAATGCAGGCGCAAGAAGTCTCCCTCTGGGATTGTACCCTGGCAGCTTGGTGGCTCCCCCCCCCCCCGCCCCGCCGACCGGCCTGCCCCTGGCTCTGCTCGCTGCCTAGGGGAGGGGGAGCAGCCCAGCAGCCGTTGGGGGAGTGTGGAAGGACACCCCTCCCCGTAGCCCTGAACCAAAAGAAGCCCCTCCCGGGGGGAAGCGAGGCCCACCCCCGGGTCGCGCCCCCCGCCTTACTTGTGGCAGCTCGGCGATGACCCGGTCCCTCCGCACGGGCGCCAGCACGTTCATCCCGGGGCTGCTCGGGTGCCAGCGGACGTCTGGGGTCTCCACGCCTGGAGGCGAAGGAGGAGAGGGCTTCAGCTGGGTCTAACGGAGGCAGCGGGCAGCCCTCGCCTGTCGCCCCCTCCGGGCTTGGGCCGCGCCCGGCGCTGGACTGGAGGCTCCCTGCGGCGGAGACCGCTGCCGCGCGTCTTCCTTGGCATCCGCGCCCCGGCGCGCCGACCGTCCTCCGCCGCGCGACGGCAAGAACAGCCGCCCCGGCCGACGGGCGAAGCGTCGGGAGTGCCGGGGGCGGAGGCCGTGAGCCCCGGGATGCGGTCGGACCGCATCCCCATCGGCTCGCGGGCGGGGCTGCACCGGTAGCGGCGGGGATGCCGCCGGAGGGAAGGCGCCCTCGGGCCGCCCGGGCGCGCGTCTTACGCCAGCGCTGTCCGGCTGCGTCGAAGGCACTCGGGGCTCGGGGGGATGGGCCGGGGGGCTTCTGCGACCCCCGCGCCGTCGGTCCAGCGGCGCCGAGGGGCAGGCGCCGCCCAGCCGCGCTCGGGGCGCTTTGACGATGCCCGCCCGGGAGTCCCGCCGGCCCGCCGGCCCGGAGAAACCCGATCCCCGGAAATTCCAGGCGACGCGCCTTTTCGGAGGAGGAGGAGGAGAATTGGGGCCGGCCAAGCGAGCGGGAGAGCGGCCGGGGCTCACGCCCCCGGGAAGCCGCCGCTGCCAGCGCGCTGGGCTCCCGCCGCCTCCTCTTCCCGGCCCCGCTGCCTGCGAAGGCGCTCTGCACAGACTCAGGGGCCCCGTCGCCCAGCCGAGCAGGCGCCGGGGCTCCCCGCGCCCCCGCCCGGCCCCCCGGCGGGCCGAGCGACCGTCGAGGCCCGCGCCCGCCCTGCTGTACCTCCTCCTCCGCCGGCGCAGCATCTGCTCCAGTCAGTGACTCAGAGGCTCCGGGGCGGGCTGAGCCCCCCGCGGCGCGCCAAGCCGGCGGCGGGAGGGGCGCGGGGGGGAGAGGAGGTGGAGCGGCTGGCGCGGGCCGCCCGGGGCGCCGGAGCCTCCGCGCCCCGAACCCGTCGCGCTGCTGGGCGGCGCCGCCGGGGGAGGGAGAGCGGCGCGGGGGCGTGCACTCTGCGCGCGCTCGGGGGCATCCTCTCCGCGGCGGGATCGCCCTCGGAGCGCCTCGGAGGAGCCCCGGGCGGGCGCCGGGGGGAGCCCGGGACCGCTGGCACCGGTGGCCGCGGGCCCTCGCCCGCCCCCGCGAGGAATCGGGCCCGAGCCGGGCGCCGCCGCTCGCAGGAGCGCCCCCCGCGCCCCCGCCCCCGCCCGGCTGGACGCCAACCCCGCGCTGCTGGCGCGGAGGGCCCTCGTGGTCCGAACCGTCCGGAGGACGCGGGCCGCGGGCACCTTGTCTGAAAAGGATCGGGCTGCGGGCGATGGGCGCCCCCCACCTTCCCCGCCTGCCATGTTGACGACCCCTCCCCATACTTTCCACACCGCTCCGCCTGCCAGCGGGGCGGGCGCGGGACGGTTTGGAAGGAGCAACGAGCAGGTCAGAGAACGAGGTGCCACAGCGATGCAGAATATGAAGCGAACCGGAGCTGGGCAGCCCAGGAGGCTTCCGGAGCTGCCGAAAACCACGCACTGTGGGTGCCCGGCGGAGCTCTAGCCGTTCCCGGGAAAGGGGCCGTCGCCCCGAGGGGATTCCCTTCCGCAGCCTGCCAGCCATTAACCAGGCTGGTGAAGGCACTCGAGGGCATCCGTGGGCAGACGAACCCGCCGCCAGGTTGCAGTTGCTTGTGCCCTCAAAGGCAGGGAAGAAATGCTCTTTAATCGTGCATGTATTTATTTATTTATTTATTTATTTATTTATTTATTTAAAACATTTCTATGCCGCCCCCATCGCAACAAAGCCTCGGGGCGGCTCACAACAACAACAAAATAATTCAAATTTAAAACATAGCAACAAAATTTCAATGGCTATAATAAGACTAGGCGGCAATAAATGGAGGCGACAGTACGGTGCCATCGCTTCGTGTACAATCGCAAGGAAGCCTCGCAGAATCACGGCTACCCAAGCAGGCAAGTCTCTGCCCGCGAGGAGCCTACAATCGGCGCCCTCACGCCGCTTCGCAGTAGCGCCGAGTTGCGAGCCAATCAGCAGGCGCCCGGCCGAGCGGCCGCCAATCAGAAGTGGCGCCGCTCGCGGCTCCGCTTCCTGCGGCCTGGTCGGAGCGCCCCCTCCCCCGCGCGGGCATACAATTCCCCTGAGGCCGCGCGGGACTACGACTCCCGCCGCCCCTTCCGGCCGCGCCTCGTGGCGCGCATGCGGAGGGAGGGGCGGGAGGGCCAAGAAAGGGCCGGCCCTGGGGCTTCCGCCCTCCTCGGCCCCACCCCGGAAGTCGTCCCGGCGGTTCCCGCGCGGTCTCGCGGAGGTCTCGCGAGAGCTGGCTCTATAAGCCTGCTTGCGCCTCACGTGGCCGCCTCTTTCCTGCCTGGCCAAGATGGCGCCGAAAGCCAAGAAGGAGGGTGAGGGCGGGGGCGCGGGCGGGATCGGGGTCGGGGTCGGGGTCGCTCTTCCGAGGCTCCCGAGGGGCACGCGAGGCGGGGGGCCCGCGTCGCCCAGGGCTGCGTGGGGCCCGGGACGCGCAGGCCGACGCTCTTCCCACTGGGCAGCACTGCCGCTCGCTGTGCCCTTGTTAGCTCCGCGTCATGCTATCCTGGGGTGCGGAGCCTGTGAGCCTCTGGGATCTAGAGCCTCGATGGACAGCTCTCCGGTCCCCGTCATCCTTCACCCTTGAGCATCCTGGCTGGGGCTGAAAGGAGTTGGAGGCGAGCCTGAATCTGGAGGGGTAGCGGGGCCCTATTCTGCTGTTGCTTGGCTGTTACTCATTTTCACCCGGAATCTTTCCCATGGAGGGGCGAAGAAGGTGCTGCCGGGGCAGAAAATGACCCAAAAGAAACCAGCAGCAGATGGGGAGGGACTGGCGGCGGCAGAGCCAAAACAGGGGAGCGGCATTTTGGCATGTGGAGCCCTGGCAGTGCGGTGGAGCAGGTGCTTTTGAGGCGGGCCCCAGGCCACGGCCTCGCACATTTCCGAACGATTCAGGGGGCAGGCGGTGTGGAAGGATCTGCGAAGAGCCATTGCTAGACAGAAGCGAGGGTTGTAGTGGAGAATGGGGATGATGGAGGCTGGAGTACTCGTGTGCATCCCACCCTGGGGAAGATCCGTTTTTCCTCGCTGTGGTCCTCATTTCTTAGTTCCGCACCCCATTATTATATTGCTTTCACAAGCTACCTTTGGTCAGACCCCTCACTTCCCTGATGGAGAGCAGCAGTCCTGGCTTTGGGGCAGAAAGGAGGTAACATGGCCCTTTTTCTCCATGCTGCCTACGTCGCCGATCACACATTTCCTGCCATTTCAGTTGGGCTGTGGGACGCAAGCCCCGCAGCTATAGGGCTGGGGTTCAGGCGTGATGGCTGTGTGCTTCCAGCCGCGTTCAGGCCTGTGCTGAATTTGCACGGGCTTCTGTGAACTCGCCTCCTCTCTTCCTCTGCCCTGCAGCTGTCCCAGCCAAGACCGAGGCGAAGTCCAAAGCTCTGAAGGCCAAAAAGGCGGTTTTGAAAGGTGTTCACAGCCATATGAAGAAGAAGATTCGCACATCGCCCACCTTCCGGAGGCCCAAGACCCTGCGGTTACGGAGGCAGCCCAAATACCCCCGCAAGAGTGCTCCAAGGAGGAATAAGTAAGCTGAGCCAAGAGCTGCTGCCCGTTCCGCACAGCTTTCTTTGCCTGCAGTCGCTGAGGACCATCCCCTGGGAAGGTCCTGGGAACGGCAGGATGGCGGTGGTCCTCTCTTGTTTCTCCCCCCGGCCTGCTAGTCAGAGGTGTGCTGTTTCTTCTCCTGGGACACTCACTCCCATCTGCCATGGCTGACCCTTTTCTCCAGGAACCAGTCCAAACACACTGTCCCCAGCCTGGAACTCTTCAGATGTGTTGGACTCCGGCCGGAGATGCGGGGGTCACTGCCTGGTGGCACTGAAGGCCCCGGTCTGGGGAAGGCCGCCTTAGAGGCCTGTTGAGCAGGTCACAGCAACGCCGGCAGCAAACCCCATAGGCCGAGCTGTGCGGTGTCGGATGCTGGCCTGTTGCGGCACAGTTTTCCCTTCAGAGATCTTGGGAGTACGACATGTGCTTATTATATTTATTACATCCGTGTATATCCCGTCCTATCGCTTCAAGCACCCGGGAGGGCTTACACAATATATACAATAAATATAGAACTACTATTAAGACATTAATTATTGCAGCAATATGAAACACATCACTATGAAATGCGACTGTGAAAAAGGGGGGAAATAACATACAATCCTAAAACATCTAAAAGCAGCGTTAAAAAAATGGTCAAATAACATAATAAAACGCCGGGGCCAGGCCGAGCTCTCCGGGGAGCAGATTCCATAGTTGTAACCCTGCACCTCTGCAGGCGAGCAAATCAGGCAGGTGGGGCTTCGCCGGGTCCCCCCCCCCAAGCCCCTGGCGGTTCCTTGAGGGTAGTGGTCCATTGCTGTTCTGCCCTGTTCAGCAGCGTATGGGGTCCTCCACCTCATCTCCATTTTATCCCCACAACCGCCCCGCAAGGCAGGTGAGGCCGGGAGTCCGTGCCCGGCCCCGAGTCACATGCCCTTCATGGGCAAGTGGGGACTTGCACCCAGGGCTCCGGAGTGCCGGTCCGGTGCTCTAACCACTAGGCCCCACTGGCTTTCACAGGGCACGTGGCAGCGGCGCGGTGCCCCCCCCCCTTTGCCTGGGTTGACGTGCGCGTGATGATGCTCTAGCGACCAAAGTCTGACTGGTTGTGATTGCAGCCAATGGCGACTGATGCACCGAGATCCTGGGCGGAGGCCCGCCGGGGGGTGGGGGGGGGGGGGTGGGGGGGCCCTCCCCGTTGCCTGAGGCCTGTGCCCGGCACCAGTCACGAGATCCCCTCTGTCTCCCCAGGCTGGACCATTACGCCATCATCAAGTTCCCCCTGACCACCGAGTCGGCCATGAAGAAGATCGAGGACAACAACACCCTGGTCTTCATCGTGGACGTGAAATCCAACAAGCACCAGATCAAGCAGGCCGTTAAGAAACTCTACGACATCGACGTGGCCAAGGTCAACACGCTGATCAGGTGAGCCGGGGCCGGGCCGGGCCGGGCCGGGGACAGGCGCTCTGTGCAGATGATGGAAACTTTTTGGAACTGAGCGAGCTGATGCGTTCAAAGGAACCACTGATGCACAAGCTGCCCCGGGAGTGCTCTGGGGGGGGGTGTCCAGGCGGGCTGTCGGGAGGGAAGAGCTCAGGGAAGCCTGTCGGGGAGACTCGGGATGGCCAGAGCGGCTCCTGCATACAGTAGTCGCTCGCGCTAAGGTGGGCTTTCTTGTCCCCCGGCTAATAGCACAACAGTGCGGTCTCGGTTGTGAAGCGGTTAGCACTGTGATCAGCAAAGGAAAGCAAGTCTGGCCAGGCGATGGCGCGCTGCTGAGAGTTGTGTTCCCTGGCCAGAGGGAGGGAAGCGGGCGGCAGGGGAGTGACGAGGCGGCCTTGAGTTGGCCTCGCTCCCTCATCTCCTCGGAGCTTGGCCCAGCAGGGCCTCCCCGTCCTGTCCCAGCCCGTCCCGTCCTTCCGCAGCGTCCTGCTCCATCTGGAGTCGGCAGCGTGCCGTCACAGCGCGGCACATCTCTCCCACAGGCGCCTCCATCTGCCAGTCACTTGGGGTGATGTGGAGGCGGGGGGCGTGAATGCGGGGGCTTCCCCACTCCTCCCCTCGGAAGCGGCCAGCTATGTTTGATCTGTGTGTGAACACCTCCTCTCCTGTCCCGTCCCAATCCAGGCCCGACGGTGAGAAAAAAGCCTATGTCCGCCTCGCACCAGACTATGACGCACTTGACGTGGCCAACAAGGTGAGGAAGCAGAAGCGCCGGGGGTGGGCTTGCCTTGCTCGGGTCGCCCGTCCCTTGGAGCTGCCTGGCCAGCGCTAGCCGAGGATGCTCGGCGGGGGGTGCGCTGGACGGGAGAGCGTTGGAGGGCAGGTGAGACTCAGGTGGCCTTCCTGGAGAGCCGTGTGAGCAAAGAGCGCCCCGGTGGCTCACGTTCCCCCCCCGCCCAGCCCAGCATGAGCTGTGTGGCGGAGCACCCTCTGAATTGCAGCCCTCGTGGAACTGGGGATTTGTGGAATTCACTCCGCAAGATACCCTCCTCCTGAGCTGAAGTCTTGCAAGCTGCTTCCTAAACTTAATAGTGTATTTGGGGTCGTGAAGGAAGTCGGGCGGGCACTCGGACGACCCGGGTGCTGGTTCCCCCTCAGGCAGGGGGCCCGCTGGGTGACTCGGCAGGCGCAGGCGCTCTCAGGCCGGCCTACCCCCAACGTGGTGGCTGTGGGGATAAGATGGAGAGCAGCGAGAGGAGGAGGAGAAAGTAAAGAGAAAGGCAGGATAGAAACAAATACTTTGGATGACAGCGTTTTACCTCAGTTCAGCCCCAAAGGACTCCCGGAGTGGCTTGGAAAACGAACACTGTCGGCATCCTAGCCCTAGCCCTGCATCTCGGGGCCGTGACGCCACAGCGAAAGGGGATTGCAAGGGAGGAGAAAAGAGCAACTCTCACGCTCCAAGAGAGCCAGCGCAAATGCCAGCGCACTACAGACGGGCGCATGGGGGGTGTAGTCCCGTTCATCCGGAAAGCCCGGTGGCTGGAGTGGCTGCCACAAAGCATCCTGAGGACGCAGCTAAAATAGCGGAAGGGATGGGCGAAATGACGGGGTGGGCAGCCCCGGGGGGTGTCTTGCAGCTGCCCATCAGCATCACCCGGGTGCTTGGGTCTGCTGCCTGCGGTGGGAGCCAGCTCCCTAGGGATGCAGGAAGCCTCTCGGGCACCTTTCTTACGGGATGCAGGCCGCCCTTTCCGGGCAGGGCGGCCGAGGGAGCTAATGCGGCCCCGCCGATTTCTTTTCCAGATTGGAATCATCTGAGCAGCACGCCAGCGGAACCGTGCGAGATGTTCCTGAGCGCATATGCCACAACGGTGCTAACCGACCCCGCAGTGAAGAATCCTGTGCAGACTTGTACAGAGTTTTGCAATAAAGATCTCAATTTAAAGCCGTATTCTCAGACGAGCAGTTTTGTTTTTCAGCAAGTCGGTTGGGAAGCAAGGGAGGCTGGTGGTTACTGGGACTCGGCCAGTGGGGGAAGTGGAGGAGCGCTCTTGGTGCGTGAGCTCCTGCTGGGGTTTGTGTGCGGGGTCGCTGCAAACGTTATTTTGCTAAGCTGCCTCGGAACGGCAAATCCTGGATGGTCAAGAAAGCCGACAGGGAAGAAAATGGATTGGGGGTACCCTGGACTGGCTGGCAGACAGACAAACTGGAACTTTTGTTGTTGTTGTACTTCGGGCACTTCATGAGAGGGCGGGATTCCCTGCGGAAAAGCCCTTCATGCCAGGGAAAGCCAAAAGGGAAAAGGCCAAATGGGAGATGGATTGATTGGATAGAAGCGGCACACGGCCTTGAATTGCTGGGAGCTGAGCAGGGCTCATCGTCAGCCTAAGTTGGCGGCAACTCTCGCATCCACTTCAGCTGGGAGAAAGCAAAACCCTTGCCATTTGCATTAACTGGGGAGGGGGCCCTGCTGCTTAGCTGCAGAAGTCGAGCTAATCCTGAAGTAGTGAGGACTATAAACTTGAGACCAGCCTAAAAAGACAGAGGCACCCTGCTTCATGGGGTGGGGGGTCCCCAGTTGGGTGATGCCTGTATTCAGAGCAGCCCAAATTCCACATCAAGACTCCAGTTTTCAAGGGCTCCGTGGGCAGCACGAAGAGCGGCGGGGGAAAGGGGCATCCCGCAAGATGACGAAGTGCATCCTTTTGGGGCTAACCGTCCAAATCAGGGCATAGGGCCACGCGCCCTTTCTCACCCGCAGCCTTTGGGGCCAGAATGGATGAAGGAAACGAAGCAAAACAAAACGTTTCCACCCTTTCAAGCCCTGCCGCCTGGACAGGGCCGTTCCCTCCTCTTGCCGCTGGGAGGCAGATGACCGAAGGCAAATTTGCTCAGCCAGTCTTTGCAGAAGAGAGACCCAAGCGCCCCTTTCTGGCCTAAGGTTTGCCCCTTTCTAGCTCCGTGAAGTGAACTGCCCCAGGGAAGGCGGAGGGCGCCTGGGCTGGGTTTGGATCATGCCCTTCAGTCCAGCCCGAAGGCAGACATGCTCTCCCTGGGACCAGCGTGCGCTTTGTCCTGAAAGCCATTCAGATGCCGTCCCGGGGCTCTGCTGGTGTGAAATTTGACCGCCTTCCCTGCCCGCTGCTCCCTTGATATGAGGAGGAGGAGGAGGGAGACCTGGCGGCTGGCCCGTGCTCGCTCTCTGGCTCTTGACCTGCTCTTGTCCCCGAGCCACCCTTCTGCCAAGTGGCTCTCGGAGCTGGCTCGGGAGGCCAGGGGCCTTTGACATTGGGAAGGCCTTCCAGCGACGGGCACCGGGCGACACCCCGAGCCGTGCAGGATGGAACAGGGGAGCTGCCCAAAGGGATTCCAGACTCGCCCCGAAGGAAGGGATCCGAGGGGCCCTTGGAGAGTCCAGGGTCCGGGCATTCTGGCGGCCTGGGCCGGCACTCCCCGATGTGACAGAGCAGGGCAGGTGTCTGGAGGGTGCTGGGAGTCGTAGTCCTTCGAGATGCCAGGGAATGCCGAGCTCCGTTGGGCAGACAAGTCCCCTCTCGGGGGGGGGGGGCCTCTAAGCGGCACAGCCCCGACCAGCCCTCCCTCCCTCCGTCTCTGCTCTCCCTTCGAAGGGGGTCTTGCAACTCTGCTGGGCAGGGCTGAGCGCCGTGAGAAGCTGAGCTCTCGAGAGCAGCCACTTCGGCCTCCGGCCAAGAGCACTTTGGCAAGCTGGCTTTGCTCTGGGGGCCGCTCAAAAGCAGCTCTTTGTGACACTCCTGGCAGAGGCCGATTCTGCCAGGAACTGAAGTCGCTCCCATTTCAAGCCCTTGCGGAAAGTCAGAAGCCGCTTTCTGCCTGTTGGAGCCCATTCCCTGCCCGGCTGGCGCATTCCCCCCCCCACCCCCAGGAGGAAAGCCAGCAACGCGAGGGGCCGTTTGGCTCAGAGAAAAGGTGCGTGAAGCGAGGCGAGGGAGCGATGCACAAACTTGGCACAGAGAAGGTGGCAGGACAGCCTTCTCCAGTTGCTGCGTCCCATAAAGCTGATGCCACGGAACCGATAAAAGGAAGTTTTCCTCTTTGGAGCGCACAGTTCAGCTAGAGCACCCCTTTCCCCAGCACGTGGCAACGGCCACTAACTTTTCGAAGGGGTCGGGACAGAGTCCCAGGAGAAGCGGATCAAGGGCTAGAAGTCACGAGGCTAGAAGATCAAGCAGGCACCAAGAACTAATCCTTCACCTAAGTGCACGTTATGTTTCCAGCCTTCGTGGCCTTGAATAAAGGGGGGATTTGAATTGGAAACCGATGCCAACTCAAGGTGGGCTGCACTGGCTGGCAGCTCCCCGCCCACCTGAAGAGGATGCGGAGGACTGCAAAGGCGGCCTCTGTTGCCAAACCACGGCCCTTCCTCCCAGAAACTGGGCACAGATTTAAATGAGTAAGCAAGCCCTTTGCAGAGCTTGCCTTGAATTTCATATAATCCCGATCTTGCCAGTACAACCAGCTTGCTGTAAGCAATTAAGAACTGCTGAGAGAGCAACCTGAATCGTGTGATGCCCAGAAACCTGCGTTGCTCCGCAGCATTTCCCTTGATCTCTTGATCCTCGAGAGACTGAGTTGTTTTGGTTTGGCTTTTCGGGAGGGAGGGAGCGAGGGAGGAGCGAGCGCCTGGCTCCACCGGAGCAGCGTGCCAAATTGCTCCTTGCCGCCTCCCCGGGGTGCGGCTGGGGTTGATGCAACCGCCGTCTCCACTCTCCCTCGAAAAGCTCTTCTGATGATTCGGTCTCTCCTGTGGAGGCGGCGGCAGGGGTGCCCGGCCAGCCTCCGCACATCGCCAGCGTGCGGGGCGTGGCAGGCGGCCGACACACCGTCCTGGCACCCTTCCCTCCGGCGGCTGCGATGACTCCCCGGCCCGGGACTGGGCGGGCAGCTCAGGGGAGGCTCGGCTGGGGAGCCGCCAGCTGCTCACAGGGCACCGCGATCGCCCCATCGGCTCTGCCCAGGTCGGGAACGGGCTTGAGAAAGGAGAAATGCGCTCTGAAAGGCAGAGCAGCTCGAACGGGACCCTGTGGGCCTTTGTTGCCGGAAAGACACCCGTCGCCCTCAAAAAGCAAAGCCCCGGAGGCCGAAGGCTCGGTCAACGCTGCAACCGAGGCCTGCTCTTCCGCGGTTTGGCCCCGTCCCGGGTCCTTGAGGAACGGCCATGGCAGAGGGTGCCGGGTGGCCTGGGCCACCAGCCCTGCCTTTGACTGCAGCCCGGGCGGAGGGCTTGCCGGGGGGGGGGACCTCCTTCTGGGTCCGCCCGGCCAGTGCGGGAAACAACGGCCTCCTGCAGCTCGGCCGCCCCTCTCGTCGCTTGTGCTCGGCCCCGTGCGTGTGCCGTTCTCCTGGACCGTGCAAGGCGTCCGGCTGCTCACCCGGCGTCGGCCCCTCCTCGCCTCTTGCCCGCTCCAGCTTTCCCGCCCCCGCACTGCCCTGGGCCCCTGCCTGGGCGCCTGCTCTGTGGCCTGCCCCAGGAGCCAGCGTCTGCCTTCATCCCGATGCCTCCTGGCCCCTCAGAATCCCCAAACACCTGGAGCACCGCTGCAGGTGGATCCGGCTTGCCAACGGGTTTAATGCGTGAACAACCTGTGCCCCGCTGCCAGACTCCCCTCCTCTCCCCACAGAGCTCAGGCCAGCTCCAGCAGCTGGGCTCTCGCGCTCGGGATGAGGGGCCGCGCAAGGCACCGGCCCTCACTAAGGCAGCTGCCCCATGGCAGGGCCGCCCGACGGAGGAAGGCACCGGAGGTGGAATCCTCGGCAAACGAGGCCGTGGAACCGGACCTCGGCGGCCCGTCCACGGTGCGAGGGCCCTCTTCCCGCCTCCGTGGCCCCGTGGCCAGGCGCGCTGGGCGGCGCTCAGTCCATGAGGAACTTCTCCTCGCCGGGGTCCCGCCTCTGCGAATTGACGCAGAAGTCGGAGCGCAGCAGCCGCAGACAGTAGCTCATGATCATGGCGTCCAGCAGGACCAGGTGGACCATGAGGTAGGCGCCCTGGCCCTCCATCTCCACGAAACGGAAGAAGTACCAGGTCAGGTAGGCCTGCGGGGCCACGCGGAAGACGAAGTAGAAGGTCACGTTCAGGTACTTGTTGATCCTGTACAACGTGTGGAAGGGCAGGTTGCCCAGCCGGAGCAGCATCCGGACGGTCAGGAAGATGTTGCTCACCTCCACGAGCAGCAGCACCAGGCCGGCCGCGACGAAGCGGTTCCTGAAGATGCCGGAGCACAAGCCCGACACGGCCTGCGGGGCGACGGGGAGGAGGCGGTCAGGCCCGCACGGGGTTCCTCGGGCTGCGGGGGATACGGCCCCCTGCAGGGCATTCAGCCCCAACTCGAGCTCGGGCAGGGAGGATTTGCAAAGCGAGCGCCACAGCCGACTTGGGACAAGGGACCCGATCCACCCTGGGCGTGCCAGGTTGCTGCTTCGGCCTGCGCGCTTGGAAACACACGAGCAAGCTGCGTGGGATTGCAAGCTGCTGCCCAAGGCAGACCGTATTTTTGTGTGGGGTGAGCATGCATGGAAGCCCAGAGCCCCTTCCCTAGCCTGGCCCCCCAACTGGACTGCCCCTCCCACTTTCCCTCAGCCCCTGATCAAAGGCCAGACACTCAGGCGAGGGCCAGGCCGTCCCGAGTCTCCGGATCCCCGCTCGTCCCCTGGGGAGGCTACCCCAGGCGGGGTGTACTTGCCATGATATGGTGCACGAGGTACTCCCAGGAGGCCCGGGACTGGTGGGACAGGATGATGTCCAGGCTGTCGTGGATGAAGTAGCCTGGGAAGGAAGCGGAAGCCCATCATCCACCTCTGCAGAAACTGGAGCCGGGCGAGGGCACTCACGCCAGCTGGCTCCTCGCGGCCGTGCCCCTCGCTCTGCCCCTGCGGGCGCCAGCAAATCGGGGGTGGGGGTTGCTGGGTTTACGGGCCCATCACAGCCCCCGCCCTGGGGCACTCGATCACGACAGCCGGGGGGGCTGCGGCCCCTGCAGGAGTCTGTTCGCTTCCTGGCCGCGCTGCAGCTTCCCTGGGGCGGCCGAGGAGCAATTCGCAAGCCGAGGAGAGGCCCCTTTCGGGAAGCACCCCTCGGCCCGGGGGTGGGCCACAGGCCGTGCCTCAAACCCGGCGCCTGGGCTGGCTGGCCAAAGGAAGCCAGGGTGCCCCCCCTCCAGAGCCCTTTGCTCTGCGATGGCGCGAAGGATCTGGGGTGTCCGGCCCTGCGTTATCTCAGCAAGGCTGCCTTTTCAAGACGCGGCAGGAAGGGGGAATTTAACCCAACTCAGGGGTGGCCTGAATGCCCCTTTCTCCTCTCGAGTGCATGAACGGCTCCAAACCTGGGAGCTGGCAAAAGCCACCGCTTGGGGACTAGGAGCGTTCGCTGCCGCCAATGGCACGCTTTTAATTGCTCCGGGACAGAGTTCCTTGCTCCAACAACCTGCAAGGTGACTCTCGTTCAGTTTTTGAAAAATAAGGAGTTATGGGGCGGCTGCTCAGTGGTCCTCCAGATGGCAAGCCTCGTTCTCCCCCAGCAGGAGGCTGTTGGGTCGGACACGAGGCCCTGGGCCGCATTCACGTGGCTCTTCAGCTCGGGGCAGCCCCCCTTACCTCCCGAAAAGCACAGCAGTAGGTGCCCAGAGGACGGGGTTGTGTGGACGAGATCCGCAAACATCTCAGGCATGATCCACACCCTGCGTTTGGAACAGCAAAAGAGACTCAGCCGCATGGAGAGGGCGAGCAGCGTCTCCTGCCTCCCAAGACCGCCGACATCCAGCGATCCCCGCAAGGGCTGGAGATGCACCCCAAAGGGCCAGAGTCGGGTCCGGCAGGGTGTTCCCCGGGTTGCCGGGGGGCTCGCCCTTGAGGCGTCTTCCGGGAGTCCTGGGGGGCCAATGCGAAAGCCCCGCCGAGGGTGTTTTGGATCCAGTCTGCAGGCTTTGGATCGACCCAAAAATAAAGTACCCAGCTAAGCTCCGTCATCCAGCTGCAGAATCCCAACCCGGAAAGCAAAGCAGAACAACTGAAGCAGCTTCATTTGCAAAAGAGCTGCATCCGCAGGGGAATTGTGGCCCCCGTCGTGGTGTGTTCTCCCTCCAGCTGGCAGGCCCCCCAGGCTGGGGGATGCTGGGAACAGTAGTCCGGCTCCTGCAGAGCAGCAGGTGCTGGCACAGCCCCTCTCTTGAGGGTCTTGGTTTGCCCACTACAGGGGCACAGGGAGCCCAAGTTGGCTGCCTGGAGTCCCCTCTCCTCCCCCCCCCCGGGCCCCCAAAGGCCCTCCTGTCCCCACGGCACCCAGCACGGCCACCCTGCTCGCTCCCTAGGTGGCTTTCCGCCCTTTGCAAGCCTGGCCACAGAACGGGCACCTGCAGGGCCACCCGGCTCAGCTCCAGCGGACCGACCGGTTTTCTCAGGCGGCGCTCAAGAGGCGCAGGGGAGAGCGGCCGCCCTTGCCCGCCCAGGTGGGGCCGCAGAGCGGGACAGGCGCTGCCTTCAGATGGGGTTCCTCGCGGGAGGCACCGGGGCTTCTGTTCTGCCGGATAAGCGCCTGCGAGCGAGCGAGCCAGCGCTGCCTTCCCGCCACGCTTGCGCCCAGCCGCTGCTGCCGCCGGACTCTGCCTCCCATCCTCCCCAGCCGCCCCGAGCGCCGTGACTGGTGCCGGCGCCGGATTTCGCCGCCGATCCCGCTGGCGAGGGTGCTTGGCGCACCAAGCCGGCGCCCGGCCCCGCCGATGCGCGGGGCTCGCTCGCTCCGCTCCCCTGGCGGCGGCGCTCTGCGCACGCCCAGAGGCGCCGGCTCCTCACCCGACCACAGCCCAGGCGCCGGCCACGACGGAGTGCACGAAGGAGACGAGCAGGTTCCTCCAGCGCCAGGTGCGGACGGGGTCGCGGCGCACGTAGGCGGGCACCGGGAGGAAGCCGAGCGCCCAGCGCAGCGCGCCGAAGGCCAGCGCGCAGCCGCCCAGCAGCCCGGCCGAGCGCAGCC